GGCCACATCGTCAGGGCTGTGTTCAGAATCCAGTCATCCTCAGGAAGACACAGAATCTTCAACACTTGTGGCTCCCACCTCACTGTGGTCTCCCTGTTCTACGGGAACATCATCTACATGTACATGCAGCCAGGACACAGCTCCTCCCAGGACCAGGGCAAGTTCCTCACCCTCTTCTACAACATCGTCACCCCCCTCCTGAACCCCCTGATCTACACCCTCAGGAACAAGGAGGTGAAGGGGGCACTGAGAAGGCTGCTGCTGGGAAATATAAGTTTAGGAAAGAATTTATAACCAAAGGTAAATTTGGGAACTCCCGCTTACGTAAAGCCTTACAAAGCTGGAGGTGTTGAACCATGATTTAGTATCACCAATGTCTGTCAGAATTTCAGCAGGATTCATCACCAGCTTGTCCCCAACATTTAGTTTGCCTTGTGTACAAGTCATGCAGGAGTACAGCAGGGCTGACACCCAGAAGCAGGACTTAAGGGAAGGTCTGCTGACCACTGCTGATGCAGATATGGAGAAGGGCTGTGCTGTTCTCACAGCTAGGTATTTGGAGGAAGTTGTGTTTTCCACGCCTAGAGGGGAAAGGGAGGAGGGAAACAGCTCTTCCTTGAATGGGCTGTGGGATGTAGAACCATCGACTACAGTGCACTGAGGGTCTCATCCTAATTGCCCACCCTTGCAAACCTTGGTAAGATGCTGTCAACATGCAACAGAGTTTTGTTACCCTGTCACTGTCTTTCATCAAGGGAGCAACAACAGCTTCTTTGCTTGGTGCATGTGTCTGTTAGAGCTCGTCACCTGCCATTCACAGTTACAAGGTCACCCTTCTGTTCCAGGCACTTGGCTGAACATCTTTCAGGGCTGGGTCTGAATATCCATTCACACTCCTGCTCTGGGAGGGACAGTGACAATGGATCTGGAGGAGAAAATGACCATGCAGCCTACATGCTGTCAATAGAATAAAACACCACCTTGGAGACAGCTGGAGAAAGGAGGCCTCAGGCAGGGTGTCCAGGGACAGTTCTGAAGCCACGTTCTGGCTGCATCTGCATGATGAACAGGAAGACCCAGGAGGTGACTCCAGCACCAGGGCCAAGTTTGCAATTCCTCAGGCTGGAGTGAGCCTGTCATGCCCCCAGACAGGAAAGCAGCAGTGCCACCCGAGAGGGAGCAGAGTGCATGACTGAGCACCCGTAGCAGAATGGAAGAGCAGGACTTGGAGCACGACACAGGGTGTCTTGGAGGAAGTTCAGTAACGTGCACCTGGTCTTACCAGGCATGCCATCTGCTGGGAGGGCATCGTGGCTGCAGGTGAGCCAGCTGACGTCAGTCAGAGGCAGCAGGATGGCTTGTGCCGAGGCATCAGTGCCAGGAAGCTCTGGGAGCCTCCCTGAGCTTTAGAGGTCCAGCCACAGGGACTGGAGTGGAACTTATGGAGGGAGTGAAAACAGAGCAGGAGCAACTCCTGTATTTTTAGCCTCATAATTAGACCATTTCTGGACACTTCCCAGATGGGAACAGCTGGAGGAGCAGACGTGAATGGGAGGTAGACTGTTCTCTTAGGACAGATTATATCTGAGATAAGTTATAAACAGCGGCCTGAGGAAGCAGAAGAGATGGCAAGACATGGCAGGAGCCCTGTTAAGAAGGGCAGGCTGGAGGGAAAGCAGGAACTCCCCAGCATATACTCATGA